ATTCAGCTCTCGCTATTGGGAAGGACATATATTATTTCGGTGGATATGGTGGTGGTTATTATCAAAACAGCTTACATTGTTTCAATGTGGATTCATTCAAGTGGAGGGAACTCTCTCCTTCTAGTTCTGATTATGGTCCAATGAAGAAGGGCTACTGTGGAATAGTATCAGTTCATTTTGACAGTGAAGACTATCTCGTAATAATTGGAGGACTGGGATCATCTTCTACACCTAAGCAACCTAATGCTCAGTATAATAATTCTGCTGGTGATTTGAGATGTAATGAGATACATTATTACAGGATTTCATCAGGTCAGTAATTCTCATCATTGATACACAATAGTTGATCAATATTTCAAACTGAATAATTTATATTAATGTACATAAAACAGATTGTTAATAATTAAGTGTGTTTGTTAGTGTGTCTGTGTGTGTCATGTGTTTGTGTGTGATGGTGACGTGTGTCTATATGTGACGTGTGTGTGTACTAATACCGTATAAGTGGTTTTTTTCGAGGGAATTATATTTCGCGAAATCTGCTAAAATTCCAATTTGCAGATTTTAATTTCGCGAATTCTACCACGTGTGCCATGCGGGTACCGTATTAAATTGATTTTCGCAGATTTTATTTTCGCGAATCACGAGGGAATCCGCGAAATTCGCGAAATTTGCAACCCTTGAAAAAAACCACTTATACGGTACATACATTATGATGTGTCTGTGTATGATAGTGCATATAATGTATGTGAGAATTTATGAATGTATGAGGTGTGTATGTGACGTGTATCTATAATGTGCATGTTATGTGTGTGTGAGTATTATCATGTATCTGTGTGTGTGTGATGTTTGTATATGTACATGTATCTATACATAAGCTAATGTGACATGAGTGTGTGTGTGTGTGTAGGTTCATGTTATTTATTATCATTTTTAATAAAGTTCTGTATCACATGAGTCACAAATTACCCACATACAATGTTCCATGAGTTTTGTATAATTATTCATTAACAATCTAACTGACATGTACTAGAATAGATTAGTAATCTTGAAATAAGGAGACCCCCTGGACCTCTCCTTCATGTGTACAGGTGTGGTGTGTGTGATTGTGTGTGTATCCATACATGAGTGTATCCATGTGTGTGTGTGTGTGTGTATCATGTGATAGTGATGTGTGTCTATGCATGATGTGTATGTATAAATAATAATGTACACACATATACTCATACATATGTATGATGAATGTGTATAATGTATGTGTGTGTATGTGGTAAGTAAGTGTACATGAATGTTTGTACATTATTATTAGATCAATGGATATCTCCTGTTGTTACTAGAGACAGACCACCTCCTATTTATGACTTCACTCTAACACCAGTTACTAATAACACTGCGGTAATGTTCGGAGGCTCTACTGATAATGGAGACAGTAATAAACTGTATATGATAAGTTTCACTAAGACATCAGTGGTGAGTTAATACTGTAGGATGGGTTTTGATTCTGAGATTATTTGATTGTAATTGTAAATTGTGTTCCGTCTACAATAATTACTAAAATTAATTTTTTTATTACATTGATTGTATTATTCTCTCAGGATATATTAGTATTACCTAATCCTGGAGGATCAGTGCAATGGCCTAAGGGAAGATCTGCTCATTCCAGTGTACTGATTACCACTAGTTCAGGACCACACTTACTAGTGGTGGGTGGATTTGATGTCAATGATGCATGGTTACTGGACATTAACAAAAGAAAATGGAAAAAACTGGTAAGTATTATATTATGATGCTTGATAATGAAACATAAAGTGATTAACTAAATTTGTAACTCATGAGGTTTGTAATGTACATGTACATATTATGATACTCAGTGAAAACTACTGATGAATAATGCTGGTATTCAGTATGTGTGTGTGTGTCTGTTTTTAGTGTGAATGTGTGTTTGTGTGTTTTTGTGTTTTGTGTTTGTTTCTTTACCTAAATATGTGTGAATATACATGTGTCTGTCTGTGTGTGTGTAAAAATGGATTCACAATTGATAGAGTGTCAATGCTTGAATTAAAATAAATTGTATTTTATATACATTGTGTACATTGTGTATGTACATACATATATTTGTGTGTATGTGTGCATATGTTTTAATATGTGTATGTGTGTACTAACACGTACATCATGTGTACATGTACATGTACATGTGTGTGTATGTGTGTGAGCAATTATGCATGCTTTACATGTAGCTTTATATGTGTATGCATGTATAGATGTACATGTATGTGTGTTAGTGTGTCATTAGTATGTGTATGTGTATATGTGTACATGC